CATTGGCAGAAACTCGCCCCAGTGCTGTAAAGCAGCCCCTCTCCTTGACGTTACGCAGTACCTCCTCACCCTGGCCCTGAATAGCACTGCTGACATAACGCTTGTCCTGACTCTGTAATGCTTGTCCTAGCCCTGTCACACTTGTCCTGGCCCACGCAGACTTCAGTGAGGCTCTTAACCAGCCAACACTCAAACCAACTCTTCCCACAGGTCCTGACATGAGTCAGACCCCCAGACCAAGGGCCCCTCTCCTCATTCCTGGTTGGTGGCACTGTATTGAGCGCATAGAGGACTTGGCATTCATCAGGGGCTGGGATGATCCCAGGTGACACATGAGGGCTTTCACACACAGGGGACAAATTCCTTTCTTTTGTCCCCCAGACAAGTTTCCTTAATCAGGTCTGCTGAAGAGCTGGGCTTTCCCCTTCCCACAAATTCAGTGAATCTAGGCTTCTTCACAGGCGACTTAGAGTCTGATCCCACAGGAAAGGAAATGGTACTAGGGAAGAAGGGGGAGGCACAGAAGTTCCTGAAGTTTTCTGTCCTGGATAGTTGGAATAAATCTCATTTTCTCTGGTCTCGCTGCTGAGGCAAAGAGTGATTAGGGTTAGCGAGGATTGGTTCAGCGGCGCTGCAGCCCGCCCCCTCCTTCCCTCATCCCCTCCCCGCCAGCCTCACTCCCTCTCTCCACTGGCACCAGTGTGTTATGCACAGCAGCCAAAAGAGCAGCCTGGGCAGCCTGTGTTGGGGGGAAAGCCGTGGGAAAAGGGGGGGTATGCCTCCCCTCATCCCCTCCTCAGGGATGCGGCACTGATAGCCCTCGGAGCAGGCCGAAGGGGCACTTCGGGAGCGTCTCCAAACTTTTCTGCTAGAGGCCAAAAAAAACAAGCTCCACTTCTTAAGAGGTAAGTCCTGAAAGTTTTTATTCCTGTGCGTGTAGGGCTTGTTGAGGGGAGAGATGTTTCGGAATAGAAGGAAAAGTTCGGAGAGGGTGGCAAGAGAGGGACTGAAGGGGTGGGAGAACTGGGAGGGGTGGCAAGACGATGGAGGCGGGGAGGATGTAGCAAAAGAAGGGGAGAAGACGGGAATGCAACAGGAAATGAAGACAAGACGAATGGAAAGATGGAGCAAAGAAAAGGGAGAGAGATCAGGGGAGAGAACAAAAACATAGGGCAGGAAGGGTGCCCCAAGGAAGTGCCCCCAGAGCTGGGAAAGCAGTAAGTCACCCCCGCTGGCTGACCCCTTTTACCCTCAGCTCTGAATATCTCGTGAAGCCCCGCAGGCTCTCAGAGCCTCATTTTGTTTGCTTGTTTGTTTGTTTTCTGAGCAAGAAAGTGAGCAGTTCTGGGCAGGGGGCGTAGGGAGGGGATGGCTGGAAACTGTGTTTGGCCACCAGCCTTCCTCCAAGTCCAAGTGTGTCTGTTCGGGAAAAACACCCTTGTTATACAGGGAGATATATATATAGCAGCAGGCAGCGCGGGAGTCAGACTCAAGCTTGTCCGCCTACTGCCCGGCATTGCTCCAGAGGAGCTGGAAAAGGCCCAGCCTGGCCAGCCAAGCCCATTTCCCTTCCCCAGTCGCATGGTTCCGTCCCCAAAACCCTGTCCCTGCTGGCTTTCCCCATCCCAGAACAAAGTGGCCCCAATTGTGCAGGCTCTGCTTCTCTTGCTTCAGGAAGAAGTTGTTTTTTCAGTGCTTGGAAAGGCTGGGAAAGCTTTCCTGCCTGCCCAGAGCAATTTGCGCCCACTCTTCCCCCAGTAGAGACCACCCCAGATATCTCCTCTCCCTCCTTGGAGCATGTCCCCCAGGGAGGGGGCTGTAAGGGGAGAAGGAGGGGGAAGAGGCTGGTTTCAGCAGCTCCAGCCAACTAGACATCTGGATTATTTTTCTCCCAGCAAGCAGAGCAGCTCTGGCCATTCCCAGCGACTGGGAAACCAGTGGAAACCAGCTGAACTCAGTGGGGGAAATGGGGGAGGCCAGAGCGGGAGGAGGAGGAGGTGCCGACAGCCCTTTAGCAGCTTGCCTTGGAGGGAAGAGGGCTTCCCAGGGCAGGCGAGAAGGGGCGAGGGGACGCTGGGGAAAGAGAGCTGAGGAACGGCTCGGAGCTTCCCACAGCCGAGGCTGGCAAACATGGCAGGCTGCCGGATGGAAGGGCTGCGCATCCGGCAGGCAGCCGGATGGACGGACACAGGGTCTCCTTGCCCGCCGGAGGAGAGGAGCGCACGGGTGACACTTTGCCCTGAGAATCACGAGTTTCTCTGGCATGAAGGGATCCGCTTGAGCAGAGCGAGGGAAGCCGGAGGGAGGGCAGGGCTCAAAGGGCCTGTCCTGGCTTTGGGCGCAGCTGAGCTGGACACGCACCAGAGGCAGAGGAAGGAGGGGAAGAGAAAAGAGGGGACTGGAGGTAGAAGAAGCCGAGCAGGCCTACCAGAAACCTGCTGTCCAGGTACGGTTTGGCACCAGCTGCCTCCCTCCCTCTCCTGTTGCAGGAGAAGGCAGCGCCTGCTGCCTGGGAAGCAGCCAGGGACAGCTGAGTGCCAAGAAGGCACAGCCTGTGTCCCTGTCAAGGCCAGGGGACAGGTAAATAGAGAGAAACACTTTCTTCCTCCCATGTCTTCCTTCGGTAGGTTCATCAGGCAGGGAGTGTGGAGGAGGGTAGGCCTCTTATCTAGCACTCTGCTTTTGCTCACCTTCCCACCCCGTCCCTGGGCTGGGGGTCAACTAGCCATTCTGAAAGGACCCCCCATCTCAGCTTTTCAGAGGCCCAGGGTGGCTTTTCCCTCTCCTTGGCTTTGCTCCAGCACAGCATGTGCTCCACGTCATGCAGACATCACTGCTGAAGGGCACTGTGCCCACTTCTGGTTTTGCAATGGGTCCATGTATGGAGGGAGTGGAAAACAGGGAAATAAGGGTTGTAACTCACATTAGATCTTCTTGCAGGTTTGCATACCTTCCTAGGAAACTCAAGGGCAGGCTCAAAATAAGGTCACTTTTCATATGACTCTGAAACCCTAGCTATGCTGCAGGGGGACAACAGGGCCCACACCAATTGCTTTCCTTGAGTGCCAGCAGAGCCATGGCCAGAGGATATGGGTGGGCTTATGCCAGAGAGAGGAATCTTCTCCCATTTGGCCCCTCCATGCCAAATTTGCCAGGTGTGTGGCCCATCCTGGCCTCAAGGAAGGACACACAGCCTCCATGTGCAGGAGGCAGAATGAGGCACTACGAGCCAGGGAGGTAAAGGCCAGCAGGAAACAAAACTGCCACTGTCCCTCTACTCCCCCGCCACGGAGAGAGGCAACCAATGGTGCCCAGAGCCACGAGGGGAGGTTTGTTTTCCCTCCCCCAGGCATTAACCCCTGGCAGATAAGAGGGGCCCTGGGTGAACAAACAAGGACAGGGCAAGGCAAAACTCGTGCAGCCAGCCAAGAAAGCTGTGCAACGCCCAGGGCTGCCCCTTGCCAGAAGCTTTGCTCTCCCTGGCACTGGCCACCCACTTCAAGGTGACCCATGAACACCCAGGAGAATGAGGCGGTATAGGGATGGATGGAGCCATGTGGCCAGGGTGCCTCCAGCAAGAGATCAATAGATGTTAGGTTCATACATCTCCTCTTTGCATGCTGCTTTCAACAACTAGCCATGCTGAAAGGACCCAGTTCCATCCTGTTCCCCCAGCTTGAGGTTCTGCAAGAAGCTGAGCCTGGGGAGGAAGGTGCCCCCACCGCCTCCAGTGACCCATTGACTTGCTTCCTTCAGTGTCAAATTCATGCCCAGGAAGGAGACCCGACTGACATGTTGAAGTGCCCCAAATCCCGAGGAGATAATTCTCTCCAGCTCCCCCTTTCTCCCTTTTTCCATGCACACCACCCTGGGCTCTGCTGATGTGAGTGTCCTCCCCGATGACCCTTTCCAGCAGAGAGAGTATGTAGCCATCTGGTCATTGCCCTGCTGTTGCATGCCTAGCCACTGCTTGCATGTTTGTCCTTCCGTGCTGCTGTCTCCCAGACCTGCCTGAGCACAGGGACCTGACCCACTCATTCTTGAGCAATCCACTTCCCTTTGGCATGCCTCAGTTTCCCTGTCTGAAAAGCAGCCTGCTGCTCTCCCCTGCCTGCCTTGTTACCCCTCAGCCTCCAACTCCGTGCTGCTGCATTCAAGTTCTGGCAAAGTTTGCCAAGCACTTAGGGATCTGGCAAGGGAGAGAGTTAAAGAAGGACAAACAAACCAATATACAAATATTGCATTTCCCCTCCCACCACCCCTCCTCCCTGAAAACTGCTGGGTCCCCAGGCCTCACCCTCTCCTGAAGGGTTCGTCTGAATAGCAAAAATGAGGGAGAGGTTTTCCATTCTGGGAGCACACGCAGCTGGGCAGGGCAAGGCCCCTGCCTGCCTGGGAGGTGGTGCCATCTAGGAACCGGATTTCAGCTAAGGTCTGAGCCATGGGCAGAGCCAAGGGCTCTGAGAGGTGTTGGGGGGGGTGATTTGGAGAAGACACGTGCACTAGCTTTAACCCCACTGCTTTCAGGACCACCCAGCACAGCCAGTCTCTGAAGTACACCTCTCCCGCAGGCAGCACAATTATGAAAATCCTCACCGGGGCTTCACCTTTCCTTTTGTCTTGTTCAGGCTGCTTACAAGGCGATCAAGGCAGTTGTCCTGCTGTCCCTGCACTCCAGCTCCTGTGACCTGCTGCCCCATCTGTGAACCATCTCCCACTCTCCCAGCAGGAGGAGGCACAGGCGGAAGAAGACGGGAGACTGGATTAGCCTTAAACCCACTGCCAGCCAGACACAGCTTCCGGCAGCAAAAGCAGCACCTGGGGTGACCGCAGACCCTTCTGAGATACCTTCGCACTGCCATCCTCATCAGTGAGGTGAAGGCAAGAAAATAAGACTCACCTCTGCCTTTTGCTCTTGGGAAGAGCAGCCAGAAGTCCCCTGTGCCACTCAACTGAGACAGCTTCTGGCAGCCAACAGGTCTGGGACAAATTCACTCTGTGCGTAATTTCATGAGTGTAACAGTGCAAAGAAACAGGGAGATAGGCAAGATTCTCACCAGCTACTCTTAAGCCAAGGGACCATAACGTGGGCTGTGCCTCCGGGCCCCAGAGAGCAGCAGGGGCAGAAGCAAGAGTGATGGGGAGTCCAGGGATGTGACAGGTCACCCTGGTTTGGAGGCCCAGTGAAGGAGAGTCTCTTGGACTTTTAAAGGTGTAGGTGTGCGGACACGACAGGGCGCACTATGAGCCTCGGAAAGCTCCCCGTGATCAGCTGGGTGTCAGGCTCCCATGGCAAGCGGCGGATGAAGGCAGAGCTGACCCCAGATATGATCAGCCCTCCACTGGGGGACTTCCGGCACACCATGCACGTGGGACGCGGTGGAGACGTCTTCGGGGACACCTCCTTCCTCAGCAACCATGGTGGGCCTGACACAGCCAAGGCCAACAACTTCTTCGTCCGGACCCTGAGGCACGTCCGCCGGACACCACTGAGGAGCCGGGGCAGCGTGAGCCAAGCAGAGCCGTCGCCTCCACCGCCACTTGTCTCACCTATCATCAAGAACGCCGTGTCATTGCCGCAGCTCAATGAGGGCATGTATGATGGGGGCAGCAACGGCGGGAGTAGCTTGACCAGCAAGTTCTCCTTCAAAAGTGCTTCCAACAGCTTCTCCAAAACACACCAGGCCTATGGTGAGTGAAGCACTTGGCAGGGGTGCGATGCCAGCTAGGGAACTAGCTCTGAGGCACTGCATTTCTTCTGCATCTCTTCTCTAGCATTGCCTCAGTTTCCCAGCTAGGGGACAACCATCACCCTTAGGGTCTCTCATTCCTCTAGTCCTATGCCTTTCTCATTGGCAGCCTCCATGGGCACATCAAGCAGGTGCCGGGACAGTGGGGCAAGGCGGGGCTGTTACAGGCGTACCCATAACCTACCAACCCCTCCATCACCACATGTCCCTCATGGGTCCCAGTCCATTCCTCCTCTATGGGCCCACATCCCTCCCTGCTGACTGTGGTTCAGGAGGGCCCTTTGAGCAAGGCAGGAATGGTGGGATGGATCAGCAGGATGGCTATTCTGGCCTCAGAACAGTAGGTTGTGGCTCAGCTTTTCTCCGAGGAGGATGGTCTTACGCAGAGGGTTTCGGGAGGGTCTGAGGGTACCTGTGACAGCGTGTGGACATGACTGGGTCCAAGGAAAAGGCAAGCTGAGGCAATGCTGCCATCTCCTGGCCCCACTTGCATGGCTTGTCCCCCACCAGCATGTTACCAAACCTGGTGCCCACCCTGAAACCTCAACTGAAAACTCTGGGCTTTGGAGATGAGCATATAGGGAAACAATCCCTGAGGTACAGTACCGTGAACCCTCTCTGCTGGATCTGGTGAGCTTGGCACTGGGGGGGACAGTAAGGGATGAAATATTGTCTTTCCTTTACAGGCTAGAGCCACTGATGGGACTGTGACATGTGCCAAGTTAGTGTCACTGCCCCTTGTCCTCTGAAGACCTAAGACAGGCCTCCTCTTGACGTGATGCCTTAGCTGAGCTCCCATCCCCTCCTCTCCTCTCATCAGCTGTTTCTTGTACCTTGCAGGGCTGGAGTCTGGATTTTGCACCATCCCTCGTGTCCCTCGCTTGGAAAAGGCCCAAGAGAGCACCTTCCCTGGGGAAACAGAGCTCACGCACTCGGACTCCCTGCTTTCCTTCCGCCTGGACCTGGGGCCCTCCCTCATGAGTGAGCTCCTCCAGGTGATGAGCTTCTCTGAAACCAATGGAAATGAGGCAGGGGATGGTGGCCAAGACCTGCCTGGTGAGCACGTTCTCCTGCATGGTGAGGAAACTGAGGACAAAGACCCTCCTGGATCAAGCAAGCCCCGTGGAGAGGGCAAGGCAGTATCCAGCTACTGGGACCACTCTGGGCAAACTAACCTGTCCAAGACCAGCTCACTGCTAGGACTCACTGCCCATGCCAATGGAGAGGCACATGCTCTTGAGCACATAGGAGAGGACCCTGACAAAGTTAAGGGCTCTGGCTGGGCTTCGGGGCTGGCAGAGGGGTCAGGAGCAGTGTCCAAAGGGAGCCTGTGGCAGGGACATTGGAATGACTGCACCATAGAGGCGGGAGAGTTTGACCGGGCAGCCCAAGTCCTGGCTCGCCATTATGGCGGGACGAGCACCCCGCGTAGCTCAGAGGAAAAGGACAAGGGTACCCAACAGGCCCGAACCCAGGCCTTGTGGGAGAGCCCCAGCAGCAGCTCGTGGCGGTCCCAAGTGACAACAGAGAGCCGGTCCCTGGAGGGCCCGTGGAACCAAGAAGAGGAGGAAGAGGAGGAGGAAGAGAATGAGCTCTCGAGCCTGCAAGAAGGGGACACTGGCACCCAGGATGGCCGCAGCAATTCCTTCGAGTATGCTGATGAGGAGGAAGATGACGAAGTCAAGGTGTGAACAACCATTCCTCCCATCAAGGCCCCCTTCCAAAGACAGCAGTGCCATGATCTTCACTCTTCTCCCCATCCCCTTCCTTTAAATGCCAGCTCCATAAGAGAGCTGGCAACAGACTCAATGAGCGAACTCCTGGCTGAGTCATGCTCCTCTGGAGATGTGCCAAACTGAGGGCAGTGGGGGGCAGGAAGGGACAAGGGGTGGAGGAGGGTAGTCCATCTCTCGGAGGGCTCCTCAGGGCTGGGTTAGCGTGAAGACCCACTCTCCTCTGCTATGCATCCTCTGGGGCAGTGGCTGTTGTGGCAGAGACAGATGCTTGCAGTCCTTGCCCATCCTGGCCTCGCTGTCGTTAGATGCCAAAGGAATATTCCAATAAGCCAAAGAAACCCTGAATCCTTTCCCACCCCATCCTACATCCTCTAGGCAAACAAATACTTTGCTTGGAAAAGGGAGAGATGATAAACAGAGAGCAGACAGAGAGACTGTAGACACAGGGCTCGTTCCCCCTACGTAAAACCCAACCGTGGAGAGGCGGTGAGTCAGAAGTGGGCTCTGAGACAGTCATGCTGGGACAAAGCACCACAGGGAGCTGTCTCAGCTCTGAAGGAGTCAGTAACCCGCGTGCGACGCTCCCAGGCTGGCAGCACCAGCCGGCTGGAGCAGGCTCTGGAATCCGGCTCACATTCCTGCCTCTCACCCCCACTCGAGCAACCAGCAACACGGAGCCTGCTCCTGGGTTGCCTGGAGGGCAGCAGGGCCCTCTCCTGCCTCAGAGATTCCTCACCTCAACCTGCACCAGCGACCTCCTGTCTCATGTGGCTGTGGTGCTGCACGCGGAGAAGCTGGGGGCCCTCTTCCACCCCTCCGCCTTGCCTAGCTTGCACATTCAGGACATGCTCCATCAAAGCTTCCTCTGGTTGCCTTCATGGAGATATTCCCACTGATTGGTTTTGCACCTGGTCTGCCCAGCCCTAGTGGAAGACCCTCTTGTAGAGCACATATATCTAACCACTGTGTGCCCTGAGGAGGTCAGCTGGAGGCCCACGAGCCAGACCAACATACAGAACTGTGCCTTCCCCCTTCCCTTCCAAAACCGTGAGCTCAGTGTTGCCTCAGGAAGGCAAGATTGTTCACAAAGACAATTGCAGGGGGCTTTCCATTTGCCTCCTGCTGCTGAGTATCACTTAGGAAGTCTTGTTTTCCAACCCCTGCCCTCCTGCAGCAGGAAGAGGGAAAGATGCCTTGCCTTGCTGATGCATGGGTGAGATTATCAGGTCATCAAATTCTGTAGCTTAAGACGATTAAGAAACATGATGTTAGCGCCCTCCCACCATTGGATTACCTCCATCTCCCAATAACCTCGCCTGAGATACCCTTTTCCAGGTATATTCTTACTCTTCCTTTCACCCCATCTCAGAACAAGAAGACTTACTCCGCTTGGCTAGTTGAGATCTGGGCTGTCTCTTTTCCCTCTCCCCATTTCCTACTCACACATCCCTCTTTCCAGAGTGCCTCCCTCAAGGGGTATTTGTGGATGGTTAAGGCCTCTAACCGAGTATCTCTGGGCAACACGGCCTTCCTGGAACAAGCTGCCCCCCACGCTGTCCCACGTGCAAAGTGACACTCATAGAAGTGCCTTTGTGCCACAGCGTGAAGCTGAAATGTTCAGGGACTGAGGTCACTGAAGGGACTCTCACAGGACTGTCCTTGTTCTCCGCGACAGAAATATGTGTGTGGCAGGGGGAGATGCCAGACTATGGCCAAAGGGCTCTGTTCCCACACAGCTCACCCGCTGCCTGCTCCTTCTGCAGGCTGCTCCTGTCAGGGAGCACTTCTGAGCATAACAAAGAGGCTGCACCGTGTGCGCGTGTTGTGCGTGGGAGCAGCGCGTCTGAGGGCTGCTGCTCTGCAGTCAGGTCGGCGCGGCCGTGGGCAGCCCATCTCCCCGCCTGCAGAGGCGGCTGCCTTGCGCCAGCAGGCAGTGGCAAGCGGGGCAGCGACAACGGCCAAGGAGTCTCCATCTCCAGGCACTGGCAACCAGCAAGGCCTGAGCGTCCACAGCCACCGCCACCCCAATGCCCTCCGTTGGGTGGATTCTGTTTCTCAGGACAAGGTGTCCTGCCCTCTGCTTCCCACACCATAGTACAAGCTGCAGACCAAAGACCCACGTCTGTGGAAGATCCTTTCTGCCGCCACTCTGTATCCCGTGCACTTATTATTGTTCTTATTAAATCAGTTTTGATACTAATTTCTCCTCTGGTGCCTCCTCCTCAAGCCTCCCGACACTTGCAGTGATCTTGCAAGCTTAACATCTTCTCTTGCCTCATCTGCTCACATTCCAGTCCCGGCCCCAAAATTAGCTTGTCTCTGGACCCAGGGCTCATGAGGAAGTCGAATTTGCCGACACCACAAGGATGCTTGGATCACCTGGTCCAGTACCTTGCCTCTCTCTGTGACTAATTCATCAAGCAGCCCTCTCTATTCAGCCAGCACCATGTTGCATATAGGAAAGTGCAAAGTTTCCTCTCCAACCCAGCAACAATTAGTTTTCACCCTGAAGCAAATTGTTACCATTCCCAAAACTGGCTTGGCTACAGACCTTCCAATCCTTCAGAAAACACTTGCCCAAACACTCAGGCAGCAACAAGGCCCATAGGCTGTAGGACACCACCCTCAATGTGTTTTGAGCTAAACAGCTGCTGCTCACGCTGAAGGAGGCAGTGCAGAAGCACAGAGGAATAGCAGGAGCATTGCTATGTCCCTTCAGGTTGGGCTCTCCATACAGTGCTCTTCTCTTCTAATGTCATCCCACCCAGTTCACAGTCCTCTGAAGTTTGCTGTTTGCTTTCATACACCAGTCTTGTTTGGAGCTTTAACGCCGTTTCTCTGCTCAGCAATCTTCTCCCCATTACCTCAATCTCATGAGGGCAAGGAGGTAAAAGTTTACCCTGTTTTTCTTAGTATATTTCATGTCTTTCCTTCCAGCATTGTCGGAGGTGTTGCAATATCCCTATTACCTCATTTTCTGCACATTTCAGTCTCTCTCTCCTGAGGACTTTGGGAACAAGATTGACCCAGTGTGCTCCAGGCTCCCTCTCCCTCCCTGTAGCTTGTGAGACACTTTTTAATTAGAGCAGCGGCAGCAGCTAATCAGGAGTAATTGCCTGTAATCCTGTGTGACAGACACAGACTGAGAGACGCTGAACAGTGTAACCAAAGCAAAATACCCTCCTTCTTGCTGCCCTCCTCAGCCTCACTTCCATACCAAGCATGATATTGTGTGGAAATGTCTGAGTAATGGGTAACCCAGGTGGAATGTGCCAGCAGATAAGTGAGGTGAGATAAGAGGAAAAGACGGAGAAGACAGTTCCTTATCTCTGGCAGGACTGCCAGCCAAGAGGCACACCTGGGCTCCATTCCCAGGGCCGCTGCTTTGCCTGGTACGGCTCCTGCTGGGGGGCAATACCCCGTTCCTCCTTCCTGTTTACTTCAAGAGGCCAAGAAGAAAATGCCAAACCCATGCCCTGAGGGTCCCAAACCTAACATTTAATTACACGCTCTTGTGGCACTGAATGCCACAATGCCCACGTCATGCTTTTGTTTTCCTCCTTCCCAAAACCTGGATGCAGGAAGAAATGGTGCATTGTGAAGAGATTACATGGCCATTCACTTGCAATCACAAACCACCTTCCTTGATCTGAACCCCACCTACAGCCTGTGTGCCATCCATTCATTCCTACATCCTGGTCTGACCTGAAAAGGCACCTGTCTTTATCTGGGGGCTATTTCCATCCAACAAGGACTCTTTTCCCGTTGGCAGAAAACCTTGGGCTTTTTCAGTGTCCCACATTAAACCACAGAGCCAGAGACCTCAGAGAAGTCAGAGCTGGAGCAAATAACCCCAGTGCTTGGACCTTTATTAGAGCTAGGACGCAGTGCCCATCAGTCCAGTTTGAAGGAGGTGACCCTGAATCCTCCCTTGACACCCATGTAGGCGATCTTGTCATAGCAGTGTCGATTAGGGAACTCCACTTCATGCCCATCTGGTAGTTTCACCTGGAATTTGTCTGCCAGGAATTCAATGACAAGCTAGGAGAGGGGAAGAGAGGAAGAGAAGGAATTGGGGACAAGACAAAGAACAGGAGATAAATATCCATTCCAAAGACTGTGTTGTTACACATCATGGTCAGATCTGGTCCTGGAAGTCTTAAGCAAGGTGCTGGAGACTGAGCTGAGTTAACACCTCACACAGTGGAGTAGGAAATAAGCAACAGATATGGAAGGTCTCAGTTTATACCTAGAATATGGTCTTGGGAGAGGATCTCCCTGAGGCTGTTTCATCTGCTCGGGTTGTAAAATCAGAATGGTTAAACCTCTGCACTGACAAGATGAAAACTCTTTGCAGATTGCTGCAAATTAAAGGGATCATTCCTCATTGCCATTGTCTCTCCACCCTTCCTCATGAGCCAGCCGCAACTGAGGAAATGAGATTCCATTCCACAGCAATAGGGAAAGGGCTGCTCATAAAAGCAGCCCTGTCAAAATCCGGGAGCATCAGATAGCAACTTAGGCAGCATCCCTGGCAGGGGGAGAGGGCGGACAGGCTGTTAATGCGGATCCAGGAGAGCTGAGGATGGGAGGGCTGAGGGAGGGTTAGTTGGAGTAGAAAGGACAAGAGTAGTAGTTTGTACTACATTGCTCCCAACCCTGGGTTGCCTTAAAGCTTGTTTGCCTAGCAGAGAAAGAGAGACAGAAAAGTGTGGAGAGCAGCAAGATTCTGTTTCTTGGACACTCCTTCATTCCCCCCTACTAGGTGTGCTCACTTTCTGAGCTGCACTGGACAGGAATGGGGAGCAGAAACAAAGTCCAAGACAGAAAAGGCTCATGCAAAGTTTCCAGAGGAAGCAATGGGAACTTGAAGGAGGAATGGAAATGGCAATAAGGACTCAAAAACCAGGGGATGAAGGTAAGTGACTGTTGAGAGAGGGCATCCTGAGAGGAAATGGTGTACAAGAACATGATAACTAAGGGTTTCAACAGCCCCACACTACTCAATGCCTGCACAGACCCCTCACCTTGATAGTGGAGCCCTTGGAGAAAGAGAGGTGACTGTCACGATGCTCCTGCTGCCAGGCTTGGGAGCACTTGGAGTTGCAGACAATGACAGACTCATTGAAGCGGGGATTGAAGTGCAATGCCAGATCCGAGGAGCTGTGGCCAAGGTTGATGATGAAGCTGTGGGGAGCAGAAGGAAGGTCAGCTGTGTGAGCAAGCCAGGGTCTTAGAAGTATCTGAGATCCAACAAACAGTTCTGCCTCCAATTCCTCATCAGTGTTGAAGATATTTCATCTCTCCTGTTTCATCATTCTGCTCATGAACGAGGGTATTAGGATTGGGGTGGTACAGAGGATCCCTGTAAAGTACTGAGTTATGCTCAGCTCAGGCTCTTTGTACTGGGCAGGCACCTCTAGTGAGCTAGAAACACCCCCACCTCTGCAACCTACCTTCAGTCTGGTGAACTGAGGTAGTTTCTTCATACTTACCCATTGGCATCCTCAGATATCCTGCCCTTAATCTTCAGGCTATCCCCAGCCTTCAGATCCAGGTTGAAGATTTCAAACACTTCCTAAAGCATAAAGTAAAAAAAAGCCTGTGGGGTTCCTTCAGACACTACACGTGAGAGCACACTACTTGGTGAAGGTTCTATGGCCAAGAAAACATCTACTGCACTCAGCAGATGTTCCTCTCGTGGCTAAATCGCCTCATCGTGGAGATCTTGCATGGTTTTCTCACTCAGTGAGGGGAAGAGAGGGCTGAGTGATGCCAGAAGAAGAAGAAGAAAAAAAAAGAAAGAAAAGACATAGAATCATTATGATTGAAAAAGACACTCACAATCATTGAGTCTAACCATAAGATCATCAAGTCCAACTGTGAGAGAGGGAAGAGTTGAAAACAAGCTTCTCCACAGCACAGTGAAAGACAGAGCATGACGACAGACACACAAGAGGATTCAAGGAGCAGGGTCAAACGCAGGACTCCCCAGAGGCTTCACAGCGCCTCATCACTCACAGCCCAGAGAATGCCATCAGTGAGCATGGAGGCAGCTGTGGCGTGCCCGTCCCTCACTCATCATTGCTGACTATCCACCACCATGAGCTGGGGACACCGAGGTGACAGAAGAAAGGAGCAGCAGACATCTTACAGACATCTTCCTCAGCAGAGCAGAGTGACCAGGCAGGAAGCCACCGTCAGTTTAGCTCAGAAACTCTTTGTACAGAAGACCTTACAACCCTGAACTTCCTTATGGCTTACACATTAACACTGCCCGTGCAGAGCACCACAGACTGCTGTTATGCAAGACTTTCCAACTAGCTCCCCCCTGCACACATGGACTTAAGGAGTTTTCATGAATCCCCATCCCCAATGCCCTCTCAGTGGACTTAATGCTGAGGGATAAGCACACATGGCCATTGCGGTGTTACCACATAGGACATCATATAGGTGTCCACCACATAACCCAGTCCACCCTAACCCTAAGAAACAGGAACATTGCCCTCACAAGGGGGCCTTACTTCATCAGTCTCCTGCAGTAAAAACTGCAAGTTGGAAGACAGGGCCCCAGATTTGATTGAAGAAATTGGTGCTGTATTCCCAGACTCCAGAAGTCAGTGGGAAAGCACGAGGGAGGAGGAGGAGGTCAATGTTAATACAGTGGCTAGCAGCCCTCACTCCTCCCAGGCCCCATTCCTCCAGTGGGCTGCCAGATGCCCAGTTCTGTGCAGATGGAAGATAGCGTCTGCCCTTCCCCGAAGGCTTCTGAAGTGAGGGGAGGTAGGTGCTGATAAGCACTCCTGCTCTGGAGGTGTTTCCTCCTAGAAGAGGGTCATAAAGCCCAGCAGGTTTGGAAATCTGTTTGCTGTCAAGGCCACTTAAGCCACTGGTGATCCCCCCCAGGCTAAGCTTGCGAGTGGCAGGAGCGGGGGTGGCAGAGGGTGGTTTCTGTCACTGGGCCCACGCTGCTGTGTCCCACCCACACACAGATTCACATCACCCTGCTCCCCGCTCAGCCTGCCCAGGGGCAAACGCAGAGCTGAGAGCCCCACTTCCAAATTATCTGTGAAGGGAGGAAAATGTAGAGACGCAGAAGCTCTGAAGTTCCTCAGGAAGGGCTTCTACTGGAGGTCTTGCTGTCATCCTGATGGGGTGGTTACTGGTGTAGGAGACCGAGGAATCCTTCACACCCACAGAGATGGACAAGAGGGCACCTGCCCAGGAGTGCCTGACCAGGAAGCCCTCAGCTGTTTATCCTGGCTGCAGGATACGTGGCCTGTACTGGTGTTTGGCCAGCAGTGCTACTGGTCGCTGCTGGTTCCCAGCAGGCTGCTCTGGGATGGCAGAGACCTGACCCGCAGTCACTGGTGAAAGAGTGGGGGCCATGACTGACCCAAGTGCAAGCTCAGCTACCAATAGGGATCAGACCTGCAATTCCACATGGAGGAAACAGAAGATTCATACAGGGTAGGGCAGGACCCACTTAAGGAGGGAAGAAGCCAATGCAGCTGTTTGGCCCTAGGGGAGAGAAGGGTGGCAGGCAGGTCCTCTGCAGAGGGACTGTGGGGCTCACAGGGGCTCCCCTGGCCTGGGGAGCACAGCAGGATGGTCACTAAAATGCTGCCCATAGTTTAGAGTGTGGATGGAGGAATCGCAGCACCGTCATGAAAGGAGCAAGAGGGCAGCCAATTACAAGGTAGCAAGGGAAGAGTCTGGGGCAGAAGGGGAAGAAAACGGTGCTTTCACTGCATGAAACGTGGCAACTTCTTTTGCCAAGATATATTTGAGGTCAACAGGCCTTCCTGGACTTCCCTACATCCCTGGGGATCTCAAGCCACCAAAAGCATCCAATGAGAGCACCCACCAGAGTGGCTCCAAACAGCAGCACCTCATGTACCACTGCTTGCAGCAGCCGCTGCTACCAGCTGGCACCCACACTGCTTTTGAGGATGAACTGAATGCTACCCTCCCAGGCAGGCTGCCAAGATCCTCGGAGGCATCATTGCTGGCAGCGGTATTATTTTGTTTTTTCACTTGGGCAAGAGATAAGTTGGTTCGGTGTGCAGCCTTGAAGAAAATCACAGGCTTTCCAATATCCTGGCTGACGTAGCACAGCCAACCCAAGGAGAGGTTTCGCCCTTTCTAGAGGATACAGGCTAAAAACTGTCTGTCACAGAAGTGACATGAATTGTCATGTATTAGACATGGTGTCCAGCCCAGACTCCAAAGACAGAAAAGCAAGGCGATTGTGCTGGATGTGCTTACGTGTGCACCACTCTTATGTCAAACCAAGCCCTCAGAGAAAAGGCAGGAGATCTCCTTACTGCTCTCCCGAAAGGCTGCAGTTTCAGCTCAAAATTAATTAGACACCAAAGAAACAGCACCAGAGAAAGATGCTACGAGGGAAAAGCTTAAGGCTAGTTTTGCACTCGAGGCACCAAAGAGTCTGTTGCTGTAGAGCAGGCCATAGAGTCTATTCAAGGCAAAAAGCTGCAGAGACCATGCATTCTTTCTTCAAGTAGCAGCTGTTCACTCTGCTATTATTTCCTACTGCTTCATATAATTTGTACTCCACAGCAAGCTATTGTCCCTTTCCACTGGCTACTTATTTCCTTGAATAGCCTCTGGGGAAGAATTTCAGTGCAAGAGTAAAGAAAAAATAAAAACTCAACACAATAAATACCAAGCAGTGACCTGATTTAAACCATGTTCTCTGACCTCATCTAGGGCCCCGATACGTTCCTCCCTGTAATTCTGAAAATAAGTCACATTTCCACCTCAGTTTGCCCCTGCTATGAAGCCTGCCTGGGAATTCCCTCTGCCTTGGCGCGTTACAGCGTGCATTTCAAGAAGCCGAGTCCCAGATTTTCTAAAACCTTGGGTGTGCACAGCTTTTCTAAAAACAAATGCGGAACATCAGCTCCTCTGAAGAATAGGTCCTACCAACGCTCCCAGATCCTTGTGCAAACTCCACCACTGAACAACAGAGAACAGTTTTGTATCACCTCCTGATGCCTGTGCTTAATCCTCTACCTGCATTTACAAAGAATCCCCTATAGCTTTGACGTTTTCCCCTTCAACGGGGAGGTGTTGCTTTGCCTCTAATCAGATAACACAGCAACCTTCACCCAAACTATCCCTAGACTCTGAAAAACAGCCAGCTTCCTAACAGAGCAGGACTGAGAGAACAAACTGCACTCACCTCAGCCAAGCGCTGAGGTAAGCAGGAGAGTGGATAAGCAGGTCTGGGGATCTGAAGGGTGTGTGCAGAGGAGGACTCTCCAGGAGATGTAGGAGAAGCCAAAGCAATGATGAGCACTAGGAAACTAGTGCCTGTAAGCACTAACCTCCTAAGCAGTTAACCAGAGAGGAACAGCTGTTTTAGAGAAGGCACTGAAGTCTCCACACCTGGATCAATTAAAAGGTGAAGGAACTAAGGACTGGAAGATAAGGTGTAACCCCCTGCCATCCTCCATGCCCCAGGTCCCTGCTTGTGCAGAGAGTCCTGAGCCTCTCTAAGTGATATGGAAGCAGGACCCATGCTTTGAATCTGGGGGCAAGGGATCAGAGGCCACCAGCATCTGGTAGCCTCTCTGGTAGCATTGCTTCCCTTTGCCTTTGGGGTGCAAATTATTTTTCTTGGAACATGAGGAATGAGGAGGAGGAAGGAAACAGCCACTGGAATAGCTAGAATCTTAAAAACAAAGCAAAGCAAAACAAAACAAAAGCACTAGCTCCAGGGCTAGGTGCAGGGCATCAGGGAAGGAGGGAAACTGCACCACAACAGTGGAGCAGATCAAGAGCAGAGAAAGCAGCATAGTGTCAGAGCCCATCTCTTTCTCTACCACATCAGGACATCACTCCAGTGTCACAGTGACTGCCATTGCTCATGCCCGAGGGGAGTTCAAAGCACTTCGATGTAGGGTTTGCATCCCTGGGGCCAAGCAGCCTTACAGATTTGCAGGGGACCTTTGTCTCAGGCAGCTCTGAAGTCTGCGGTAACCCTCTTGCACGGCACCAGGGAAGGGGAGGAAGGTGGTTCATGTGCATGGAAGCTGGTTCATAAGGTGTCAGGGCCATTTCATCATCTGAAGCAGCCGGATGATTGATGTTGTGTGGGTCCTTGGCTTGCCTGAGGGACAGGAGAATCAACTGGCAATCAGTGGGGAAGGGAGGTCAGAGGATAGATTACATGCCACCCAGATCCGCTTCCAGTCTTCATTTTTCTAATTCTTTCCTTCATGGAGGCAGGCCAGGAACATGGATTGTGGGAATGGTTTTCAGTAATATGCCTGGAGACAAAAAATGCACTTAGTGCTTCCCACTAGCAAAGGAGAAGATACGTACATGGTTCACGACTCCCCGCTCTCATCTCTGGGACCTTCCTGCTTATCCCACACTTGTTGGCTGAGATACTAACTAAAGACAAAAAATCATTACCCATAGAGTCCTCCATAAAGGATCAGCTTCATGAGGTCTTACACTCCACTTTCATCTTGCACTAGAGGAGGAAGATCTCCAACAGTTTTTTCCTAACACTGGGTAAGGAAGACAGCAATTCCCTCATTTTGCACATGAGGAATCTGAAATGCAAATATCCAAATATATATCCCAAAACAACTATCTTGTTTGGATTTTCATATCAAAACTCCCATTGTCAGATTTGCAGAAGGCTTTGCAAACTTATCTCATAAGATGAATGTAAGTTGGACCTGGATATCAGAAATGCTAATTTCTCACCATGCTATCTAATATCAGAAGGAGGTGTGGGTGCCTTTAAAAAATATCAGCACTTGAATATGTCCAGATAAGTCTCAAATCCAGAGGAATTCAGAAAGAATGGCCCCCTTCCAAAAATGTTAAGCCAGGGGACTTCCGAGATGCCCCAAGCCCAACTTCCCCTGACCACTTCCCACAATAAAGACAACATTAGGCCAGCTGGATGGAACTCAAAAAGAAATGCAGAATTGCACCATACACAAAATATCCATGGGAACCTCCCTCAGTTGAGCTCAGAGCAGCCATTGCAGATCCAAGCCCATGGTGCAGGGACAGGGGGTGCTGGACTGCCGTGCGCAGGGAGAACAAGGCTGCTGCCGGGGCACGACGTGCTGGGAGCGCTTCTCTCAGGCTCCGGCACCAGCCAAAGCGGGTTGGACAACTCCGAGGACTCACAGGAATCCTTCGCACAAGCAGAATCT